TTTTCATCCATATCAAATTCTATTGATAACCACGCATCGGGTCTTAGATAATTCTGCTCGAGAGTATAATATAATGAATTTCCTTGGAATATGAAATAATGCAACGAATTTCCTATAGACGTTCAAAGAGATGGAATTAGAGCGAGAGCAATCAAATGATATCTGCGATTTAGATTAGCTCTCTTAGAGCCGCACACACTAACCCTTTGAACTGCAGCTAAATGGATGCATATCAAAGACTGCTTAAATAGATCCATGAATAACCGACAGAATTTAACCATTATTTCGAATCTATCGATCTATACTCGATAGAATATACGTGTGTGTTCAAAGAAATTTCTTGAACAGCCATCGAATCTCTATTCAATCTCGCAAATCGGTTATTTTTTTCCACGTTCGATACCAACGGCTCTTATCAGTCGGGGCTTTATTAACGGACATTCAGACTCGTCGGCTTCGTTGACCCGTCGATTTTTCCCTTTTCCCTTATCAGCGGCGCGTCCACTGCTTCGAGCAAAACGCCAGGTCAACCTGTCTCGCGGCGCATGATGAATGCTTCTTTTCCACGGTCGAATGGAATTCAGGAAACGCTGTGATACCTCCTAATTCCACGATGATTTAACGTGGCCGCTTTCACCGCGATATCCACGGTCCTCTGATTCGTCAAAGTCCACCGAAAGCTTTCAACGCACGAGATGAGGGTGTTTTCAATGGAACCGGCTCGGTATAAAGGATAAAGGATCTTGTAGCGATGTTTGCGGTTAGAGATATCGAGGCCAGATGGCTGCGATGGTAATAAACGCATTAAGCTTAGGATCATTCATCTCAGCATGGCTTTATGGATAATACGTCATTTGTACGCTGTTCCATAAGGAGGATTATATCTTGTTAATAATTGAGGAGTGGTGTACTTATTGATAATTATTGATTTTAACTGACTAACAACTATTTTATTTAACCATATTATTCTACATGTCTTAAGTATTATTCGGAAACCTTGCTGGTTACAACACGTTACGTACATTCGTTCTTCGCAACGCGTCTTCTTTTTCACGTCCTATATCTGCGCCTGCGCCTCTTACTCATCACAGAGTATGTCGCATATATTTGTTTCAGTATAAACTTACTCTATAATCCAACCAATTTATCCATTCGTGACTCCAGCTGCTTTATAAAAAGGATTTTTTTTTGCAAAAACAAGGTACAAGGTTGTTCAAGTCTGCTTTTTGACGGAATGATTTAAAGAAATAATGTATTGATCCGGTTGGCTCATTTTTATAGCATTATTATATTTTGTATTTCAAATGCGACCACGTTCTAACTCGTTCGACTTGGTAACAAAAAATGTGACGATATTTCAAGAGTCATATTTTGGAGTTCGGTTGTAAACCCGGCGGTGCATTAGGGGTTGCGTTGTATCGTTCCGCTTTCGCAACGTGAGGCTATTAATTCTTCGAGAGGGGGTTTATCTGGTTCCCCCACGAGCAGCGGACGAAGCTGGATTTCGCGTTCGAGGCCTTTGTACACCCGTTTCTCGACGATATTCGTGTTACACGTGGTATATCTAGCGTAACGGAAATCCTGCACGCTCGTATACATGCCTCCTCGGTATATTTACACCGGAATCGATGAGAGTTACGAGTTAACATCGCTTGGCCCCAGCGTACGTGCGTACCTACCGAACGAACGACGGAGAATGGTACCTACGGAATTAGGCTCGCTTCTCACGCACCATCTCCGGAGCAACAGGACAATGTTAATGGGCAAGCGATCCGCGTGCCGGCACATTGTTCCCCAACGGCCCGGGCCAGAATGCGCCACGTTATGATTACGTGACCGTCGTATCGTTTACCACAAGACTGGACAATGAACTGACTCGAATCCCTCACCATCAAATCCTGATTAATGCGAGAACTTGCGCAGAATCTTGTAGGAAATTGCTTGTACACGAACAGACGGTTTCACGATGCAACAATGAAAAAATAAGAGTGTTCCATCAAGTCTTATTTCAATTATCAGTACAATTTTTAACCGGGACTTTGATAAATCTAACTGCCTCGAAGTTTCAATTAAAGAAGGCAACGTGTAATTGGAAATTAACATGGCTAAGTGTTTCATCGTCGAGAACGTATTAAAAATCGCGGTAAGGTGCGCATAGGCGTGATACATTATTCATCACGGGTTGTTCGCCACGCAGAAGTTTGATTATTCCGAGCATCCGTCTTGTCAAGGTAATATAGAGTTGTGTAAACTTGGAGCATAAATGTCTGCCGGAACACATCGAAATTTTCAACTCTTCCAAGTTTCCCGGGGGCCCGTAAAGTCTGCGGTGCAACCGTTTTATCGCTGGGCTTCGAACGAAATTAATGCGACGTTTCGTCGATGTATTTCCAAACTTCAGTATGAACAGTGCATGTATAGAAAATGTACCTCTTTCGGGCACCCAAGTGGCTATGTGACGCAGGTATTTCAAAAGAAATCCAATTGGACCTTCGATATTTTTCATTTTCATGCAGGATGAGCATCCATCATGCAAAAGGCGCGTGGCTGTCGACGAAGACGACGTCTGAGGTTTAACGCTGACGATGTAAGAGAAGCGAGGCTTGAATTGAAGCTGATTGGGCGTGCGACAAACATCCGGCCGCATTTCGCGTCCCACGGCCACGGGAATGCACTTTGTAACGCGTGTGCAACGAGATCTTTTCACTCCCATTAACTTTACTCCTTTAATTTGAAAGAATACGACTGTAGCACGACTTTACGCTGGGATTTCCTCCAAATTAAACATATACTCATAACAAGATTATTCTATTGAGAAACTAAATAGAGTCATCGCATAATTTCTAATTAACACGTTAATTATCGTTTATCTAAGATATCGGTGATGAGTTTCAAGGAAGCTGTGATTCAGAATATTTGCATCGGAACTGCAATATGGAGAAACAGAGAGTGAAAGCAAGAGAGAGAGAGAGAGAGAGAGAGAGAGAGAGAGAGAGAGAGAGAGAGAGAGAGTTTCGGGGGCACGTCGATGCGAAATTACATGTCAATGTCCACGGGGGAGTATTAGGTTCGGTGATTGACGACGGTTTACGCTGAACCTACAATTGCTTGCAGAACGGTCATAGGTTATCTATTAAGATTGATCCGCGTCGAGGCAAAGCACTATATCAATTAACCGAAAGACACGCGGCCACCCCGGCATGGATCGACCACAGTGATCAATTATTATCTCGGTTCAATTCTCAATCAGATACTAAGACTGCGCTACGATTCAAACAATATTAGCTTAAAGGATAACTTATCCTGGATTGAATGATGAACAGAAAGACCTTTACGCTTCGTTGCTGAATTAGAATCTGGATGAAATTATGCAAATAATAAAAAGTGTATTAGAAGAAGGTTTGATAACACTACGGAGAACTTCCGGTTGCGATGGCGAATTCGGTGAGTCTTGAGAGACGGGAAGGAAAACATGATCGTTTGCAAATACCGAGTAATTAACTTCAAAGGGTGGCCAGTAACGTTTGGCTCGTCTCTATATTAACGTGCGCAATTAAGATATAGGTCCCCGAGGAGGAAACCACGAAGTCAAGCAACTGCCAGCAACAATTTGGCGTTACGTAATTACGGACGGCCACGAAATAACGCCGGATTTCCGAGCGACTACCACTCGAGGGGTTTTGCGATCGCCTCCGAGGCCCGTCTTGCCTTCCAGTTACCCGAAACCGAGATTGGGTCCATATCGAGACGAGACGCGTCTGGCCAGTGGGGTTATTCGTCTTCTCGAATTAACTCCATAACCTAACAACCTAGACTGGTTGCCAAGACTGAGGAAAATTGGGAACGAACAAGCTCTGAATTATGGGAATTGGATAAGATGCAGCTCACTATACAAGCCACTATATATACACATCCAACAGTGTAGGATTATTAGATATTGGGTAAGAACCCTTGAAAGTTAAAAATAAAATAATTTATTATTTGAAACTTCGTTTGCTCTATTTATTGCACGTTATTTATTATGTATGACCAAAAACTTCTTGCCAGGGGTAGTAAACACACGCATGAATGACTCCCAGAACGAAATCTGTCTTAATAACGTCACCCTCCAATTCGTTTTTAATTTAACCTCATCGATCTACGTACTTTAGCTTTAATGCGAAATTATATTCGTGAAGATAAAGAGCACGCAAGCGGTTCAAAGGGACACAGCGGTAGGTCGCTGATCGTTGGCTGCGATTTTCGATCTCGTATCGCGCAAATAAATCGTTCCCGGGCAATTAGCGAAAGTCTTTGTTACGTCTACCATTAATTAAGCGTAATAGCTTGTCCCGTGCGTTGCAAACTCGCTATTTATTACCCTAGCTCATGGAATTCCGCGTTCGCGTTCACCAGTCCACGGAATTTCTCATCTCCTCAAGTTCGCGACTTCATGTACATATACCATCATTCAAATTTTCCAATTAAAATAATTTTTCATGTGATATTAACCGTTTCGCTACGAGGAACGAGGAGCCCCACCAAAAGTGTACACATTGGGGTCAAGTCTTTCGTCTCAAGCCACTGTAACACTGCCTTTAGAAGCAAAATAATTTTTCTTCAGAGCAATGTATTTATATGATATGATACTGAACGAAGTAAGGCCGAAAATCCAAACCCAGTTTAAATACGAAATTTTGTGCCGGATGACTATAGTTATCCGTAATAGCGAACGGGTTAAAGAACCAGTAATACTATGTATATGCGCGAGCTTCAACAGTAACAATTGTAATTAATTCATTGTCCTATAATTTGATTGAAACGTTTATAATTGGATTTCAGCTTTCATTCGTAATTAAAAATTCCGACGTATTATACGTATGCGATATTCTGTTCTATTATGTCGTTGATGAATGATATTGCTTTCTGCACATTTCGGTGACACTCGATTACTAATCGTATAGGGATTTGATTGGAAGCAAGCATTAGAGTAATTGAACATAAAGATTGGTGGGACTTACCTGGACAGCGGGCTGCTGATGATGTAGTGGGTGTAGTAGAATATGCTCGCGACGGAGATGAGGAGCAACGCCGCGACGCATCGCTTCACCGTCGCTTGTTTCACGACGCAACGCGGACCGACGGCGTTTAACAAGGGAACGCCAGCCTCGACCGCGGAAATCTTGATCACCATCGTCTCATCCGACGAACGGCACCGTTGTGTCTCTCAGATTACGTCCCTCTCACCCGGTGAAAACGCGGACTGTGAATCCTGCCACAGCGCCGCGACCACAAACGTTCCTCACTTTCGGAAACGAGGACTTCCTCTTCTCTCTGTCGCCGGACATCGGCTCTCATAGTCGTCGAACTCTCATCAAACGATCTCCGTGGATCAATACGAATAAAGCTTTGAGCTTCTTCGTGCGAGATTAACGCCAGCTTACGATGACTTCGTCTTCGTACGAGATTAACGCCAGCTTACGATGACTTCGTCTTCGTGCGAAATTTTGTTGCGATCAGGGAAGTTTGTCGACGCTCTTTGACAGGGATTTTGAGAACTCTTTCAGATTAAAAGAACGGGGTCCTGGATCGAACCCGCCGGACTGCCTTTCGGATGACATCGATGATAGTTCACGGATAAGATCGCCACTTGTTGCGTTTCCACGAGGGCAACGCGATCATTTTGCGACCATCGCGCGTACATCGCGCGATCGCCTTTAACCCATTTGGCCGATATATTCTCTATTCTCTATTTACACTTCGGCTTCCTTAACAATCTATTTTACAAATCCTGCACATCCTTTCACTGATTCTTGCGCGAGAAAATCAGGTTCTTTCTAAGTTTCGATGACATATCACCATTGCGTAAACAACTGTTTAAAGCGATGAAATTTTTCAAACGTTGATACCTTTGCCAGATTTTGTTTCCGGTTTTGCCGGGAGTTAAGCTGGTTTTACCAACGTACCATTTGTTATGGCTCACGACTGGCCCAAGATGGCAGAGAGCTCCTAGACGAGCGCAAGCAAACCTGTTCACTCGTAAATTTCGACCCTTCGTCCCGCCTCTCCGCCCGGTTTCTCCCTCTTGACTTCTGCGTCTCGTTCTTTCTTTCCTGACCTCTTCTCCCCTCCAGCTGTCAATTAGAGACGATGGAAAGCTGCGATGCTTCCTGGCTGGAACGATTTTCAAAGCGTTACCCCTATCGGCCGTATCGATCTCGTTTCATGCAGCGTCGCCTCTGGATTCCCTCGCCCCGAGACGGGAGTCTGAAACAGTCAACGGTGGAATGTTCATTCAACGATTCGGTGAGAAATATACGTGGCTAGTCGCTTTTGTTTCGTTCGCGTGCGGAAAAATCGATCGTTATTTGTAAACTAGACTTTAAGGATGTATTGGCTATAGAGTCAATTCCAAAAGTTTATGCACTTTAGAAACGCATTTTTTAAAAAGAAATCAGACGTCGGAAGAACAATACTAATAATAAACAACAAAAAAAAATTTTCGATTTTTCCGAGATTTTTCCAAGGGGTACCCCTTCAGATTTTGCGAAATTTTCGTTTTTTGCCAATAACTT